ACAAGAAAAAGAAACGGCGAAGCATTAAATGCAGACACTGTATTTCTACTGTCACCGTTCACCTAAGTAGAGGAGTCATTGGCATAGTTCAATTCTAAAGGTCCTGATGTTTTGTACTTGAACTACACCAATAGATAAGGTGTCATTTTCGCTGTAAACACACGCTTCTTTCATTATTAATTTTCAAGTAAAACTGATGGTTTCGTAACGCCTGCACCTGCTTTTCGTAAGAAATTTGGATTTAGTGTTGCTTGCCTTTTCTAAATGAATCCACGATCATAAGTATCTGAAGTAAAATTCATTTGTTAATTTTAAATGTACACACCAAATATTTAAGTTCACTTTGTTTGTGTTTGGGCGTATTGCACTCTGTTTTGTAAAATATTTTTACGAAATCTTAAATATTTCAATAGTGTATATTTATCTGCACTTTATTCACATGTAAAAACAAACACATAAATTGCAAATGAAGCAATTCAAATATAAGAATAGACGTGAATATCTTAACAACTTCCAATTATGTTACTGAAACTTGAAAAGGAGGAACAACAGTGCTATAAATGTATCTGTTGTGGGTTCAGTGCACAACGGATTTGGATTCAAGAATGTACAGTTCATAAAAAAACTAGAACATGTCCAGATTTTGATACAGGTCAACGAGAAGATGGAGATGATGACCCTTGGGGTAGTGGTTTCACACATAAGGATGTCCGGTACAAAAGATACTATATAGAAAAGATTGAAGAAGTCACCTAATAGATTCACAAGCCAATAAGACACACTTGATCACACCCTATTGCCATTAAAATCTTGAAACCTGATGCTGCTCAAGACATACTCACAGGGTTTTTTTTTTTTTTTTTTTTTTTCACACACCCTGTTGCCATTAAAATCTTGAAACCTTATGCTGCTCAAGACATCCTCCCAAGGTTCTTTTCCTTAGTATGTGTCATGCATATAGGTACTTGGTGTAAAAACTATCATAATTACTTGGGCTTTTTACCCCGGAACCGACCTGAAATAGCCGATTCGAAACCGAACCAAGATTTACAAATATCTGTTGGGTCCAAAATTCTTTTACCCGAAAGAACCGGAACCGAAAAGAATCGATCGAATATACCCAAATCCAAAGAGAACCGATCCGAATCGATCCGACCGGATAAGCATCGATTCATACCCGACTTAATAACATGAACATCCAAAACTATAATTTTGTGTACTACTTTCTATATTTTATTTTATGATTTAGTTGAAATATATTTTGTTAATAATTTTGTTATTATTTATTTTAATATTTTAAGTAATATGCATTTTTAAATGTAAAGTTTAAAAATATTTTATTTTAGTTATTCATAGTTTATTTATTTTGTACAAAATATAGATATGTATGACAGATTTTGACTAAATTTGATCGGACTTGAGTATTTTGTATCCTTTTCATATCCTAAATAACCGAATCCAATCTGGACCCGAAACAAATCTGAATATTATATTTTATAGGTATTTTAATTATTGACCCAAATCGACATGAATCCAAGAAGAAATGACCTGAGACCGAACCGAAAATTTACAAATACCTATTACATCTAAAATTTTAGGAGCAGAAAGGACCTGGACCCAAAAAAACAGACTCAAACTCGGCTCAAACCCGAAAGCCCAAATCTTATTACAGTAAAATAAACAAAGTAAATATGTAAATATTATGTATCCATGAACTATCATAATCTATTATAAGAATAACAAAATATACACAATAAAAATTAATATCACCTTAAATTTAAGTAAGTTAAACATTTTTAAATACTCATCAACATTAATGATATATTTATGTAATTTTTTGGTTACTAACCCGCCCGTAGGGCGGGCCAACCCTAGTAACACATAAAAAAAAAAATCACCGATTATAACATAACTTTTAAACATACAAGCTGGAAGATTGGTCAACCACAACACACTACACAACCATTCTTCACAATAATGAACATTGTTATTTGCCCCCATTCTCGATGAACCGAAGTTATCAAGCAAAAAAAACAAATAACTACAATTACAAACAAACATCAAAATTCTTTGGGATAAGTTATTAAATTCCGCGCGAAACGTAGATTTCCCCTAGAACAACCTATTTTTGAAAAAACAAATTTTTATATTTATTAATATTATTATTTTCACAATAAATTTAAGCGAAATAACATCTTTTAAGAGAAGAAATAAAATATCTTATACTATAAGTTTATTTGAATCAAGTAAAATTGCGGTGCCTTTATTTATTTTGACGGTTACTTACATACATACACTTAATGAATGAAATGCTATATTTAATTGTCATTATCAAAAAAAGATTTATTTTAAAAATAATTTTCATATTAAAAAGTATATTATTTTCTTAAAATAATTTTAAATAACATTATATATGTATAAATTTATATATATATATATATATATATATATCATTTAAACAGATTTTGTTGATATACTGAAGTATATATAGATATAGAATTAAATACAACACAACAAAATACAGTTTATTTCATAAACAGAAATATGAGACAGTATATATATTTAAACTAATAGAAATATTTTCTTTATAGATCAAGGTATTTTCTTGTATGAGTAAATTACTTATTAAACTATATTTAAAATCTAAAATAACTACCAAACTAAATACAAATAATAAAATTAACAAAAAAAATTATTCTATTAAGAAAAAAATAATGTTATGATTTAATTTGGAGAAGTATATGCAATCCAATATACTCAAATTATAACCAAACCAACTAGATACTATATATCCAAAATTAATTATAATTGAAATACAAAATAATTATTGAAAATTGAATGAAATATAATAGTATTAATTATAAAAGAATACATACAAATACAAAATAATTGAAAGTTAAAAATTGAAAATAAATTTATTTGTTAATATTTATATTCATGCATGATTATGGAGAAACAACTAGTGAAAATTATTGAAAATGTTTTAATATATAAAAATTAAGGCCAACTTTTCTTTTAGCATAGAGCTTGGAAGGGTTTGGTTAGTGATCGAGAAGTCTAAGCTTTGGATTGATCACTTCCAAACTCTGTTATGTTTTATGGAGATGGTTTCAGTAAGACATAGGCTACTATCACAGTGATCAAAGCTGGCTTGTATAAGTGATATAATTATTTTACTTTTCTCCGCTTATTTATCTGTTTTTGTTCTGTTTTCCAGATTGTGAGTGTGTGTGTTTGCATTATGCTAGAAGAAATGATTCTAGTGCTTGAGAATATACAAGTGCTATTAGAGGTTGAGCGCATTGATGGGTATTAGAGGTTGAGCGCCTTGATCATCTTGAGTTTTTTCATAGGAAATAAATCGTTAAGTTTTGTTTGAATACTGAATCTCCTGTTGGTTTGAGATGATATCGAGTGAAATCATAATATACTAACTAGATTTTGATCCGTGCTTGAGAAGCGCATGTTTTGTTTTGGTTGTAACAAAATGTATCAAATGATCCGAGTTCTATTATATGATAGTTTTATATGTGAAATTTAATGTATATTTAACCTTTTAGTAGGGTCTTTTCATTGAGTTTTGCATAACCGAGTAAGTTTGTGGTCGAAACGAGAATAATAAAATTAAGTGTTGTGAGAATATGAATAATTAAAACACATATTATATTGAAACCAAAATTGTATGGGTCCATGACCCATAGTAAATTTGAAAAATAAATACTATTTAAAATTCCCAAAATTGTAAATAAATCCAATAAATATGTTAATCAAATTATATAGTTTATTTATGTTAGTTAAAATAATTACATCTATGATTTTTGAACAGTAAAAATAATATTTAAATTCCAACTAAGTTGTAAAATAATAACATCTATGATTTAAAATAATATAGTTTTAAAATAGAAGAAATTCTGAAGATCACAAGCTCTAACATGTAAAATAATACTATAAAATCATATAAAATCAGAGATATTAAAAATATTATATAAACAAATTACTTATCCCATAGATTAAACAATATAATGCATTGATACTTTCAAAAAGGGATAATTAAGCTATCATATTATTATTTTTTATTTTTGCATGTAGCAAAGAATTCAAAAAGAGAAATGATTGTCTGACATGGATAAACTCAATCTTTATCTAAAAATCTCAATAACATGACAAAAATGTCAAATAATTAGGTCTTGAAAAGAACATCTTTTAACCAACTTTATAAAAGAATCATTTTGGAAGATGAGATAAACGTCAATCATATCACAAGTACATATCGGAATTGTCAAAACAAAATCACATACGAAATGTATATCTAAATTTTTTTGATAACATGACCACTCAAATCATTAGATGTTGGAAAGAACATATTTGAACCAACTTTATAAGAGATTTTTTTTGGAAGAAGATATATGTCAATCATATCACAAGTACATTTCATAATTGTCAGAACAAAATCATAACAAACATAGATTCTAAAAATAAGATTAATAAATAGGAAAAAGATAAAGTTTAAAAATTGAATAGTTGTTTAATTAAGAGAAAGGATATATTCAGTATCTAATCAAAAAAACTTCTAAAAACAGCAAAATATGTACTATTAAACCTAATAATACTAAACATAACTAAAACAATTATTTCTAAACAAACATAATCCTAAAACGCCTAAAATATGAGTAAATCAAGCAATAAATAAACAAATAAGAGTAGATATTAAACATATAATTTTAGAAATATTAAGCATTAATTAAAAAGTTTCAAATATAACGAAACCGGTTGTAAACAACCGGTGCATAGGGTTCAAATTAAAAACAAAAATAGATTGAACATAACATAAAATCTTAAGATTAAGATTGAGATTGGTTAGATGTTCAGTCATACATCATTGGCTTACCCAACTTGAACCAATCGATGGTAGGGACCTTAACATCTTTAAGCTTGGATTCGGCAAGGACCAGCTCGAACTCTGTCTTCTTCTTCTCATGGTACATTCAAAAGAGACCTTCTCATTCTTCGAGGAACTCCAGTTTCTTAGCAATGAGAACCTTATTGAGCTCCTCTTGATGCCTTGTTTCGACGGCTTTGTTCCTCTCACGGTACATCAAGAGCATAGCCCGATAACACGGCATGGTCTCGAACATGCCCCTCTCGTAAGCCTCCTTCAACGTTTCCCCTTCATACTCGTTCATCTAAGCTTTCATCTTTAGATCCTTGTTACATGCCATTGAGATACTTCTCAATGTTTAAGAAGCAAAATATAAGTTTTAGGAAACAAAATATATCAAATATGGAAATATAATAAATCCTAAATATTTATTATGTAGATGTTAGATCTAACATAGACTCACAGAAAATATATATTAATCCCAAAATATCTTCTATAGTTTTTTTGACATCAAACGGCTGATCTATTACTCAAACAACTTGAGGTGGTCTGGGTAACCAGACCGGAATAGAACAACCAACGTACAAAAACTTACGATAAAAAGACCTAGCTATCCTAGCTAGAAAATCAGAAACGCCGTTCTGCAGACTAGGAACATAAAAAAATCGTGAAGTCAGGAAAGCAGATCTTCAGTGTCATCAGTTTTTCCAGTTCCGTTGAAAAGCTAGGCCATGCATGAGGATTCCTGAGCATTTCGATCATCTCCTTGCAATCAGTCCCAAAGCTCTGACATGGCGAATGTTGAAGCATGTTCCCCATTGCCCACCGCAGTGCTTCCAACTCTGAATGCAACGCCGATTCCACTCGATCAAAATTACGCAAGCCCAATAGCTGGCTATATCCAAAAGTATCATTCAATACCCATCTACATCCACTGAAGGAATCCGATGAAGTCCAAGATCCATCTACCATGCATATGTTACCCAAACTTAAGGCCTGGTCCTCATCTATTCCGTCCTCAAGGGAAGACGGTGTATTCTGCTCATTTGCTTGGAACCATGCTTGGCATTCACGTTCTGCATAGCGCGCTACTTCCAATGGGTCCCTATCAATGCCTCTGAATAGCTTATCGTTCCTAGCCTTCCAAATGTACCAGATTAACCAAGGATAAGGATCCCTGTCTAATTCCGGCTCCACTATTGCATTCTTCCTCCATAATAGATAGTCCATATTCGCGTACGTGCTTTGTACTGGAAACAGAGCGGGATTGGTGGGCGTAGTTGATAGTGCCCAAACCTGTAATGCAGGTGGGCATTCAAATATTGCATGTGTGATCGTTTCCTCGGGTTCCCCACATCGAGGGCAGTGGTTGTCGCATCTCATATGTATGTTGTTTAAGATGCTCGTAACAGCTACATGTCATGTAATCAACTGCCACATAAGATGGCAAATCTTTTGAGGAGCCCTGACCTTCCAAGCATGTGCTTGGAGCTTTGTGATACTAGGCTCACATACTTCAGATTCATCTTCCTTCCTCAAGATATTTCGTGCTACCCAGTATCCAGATTTAACTGTATACTGTCCAGTCCTTGTATAACTCCAGCAGTACGTATCCCGTCGATGCGTGGAGCTAATGTCCATACTCTTGATGAGTGGTATGTCAGCTGCATCAATATAATCTTGAATTCGGCTATCATCCCAAGTCTTTGTTCTTTGATTAATCAAGTCGCTCACTCGCATATTTGGGTGCAGAACCGGTGCCAATGGGGTTGCTGGTCTTGCAGGTATAGTAGGAATCCAAGGATCTTCCCAAGCTTTAACTTCATATTCCGAATGAATTTTTTGTCTAATTCCTAATAATAGCAATTCTCTTCCGGCCGATATGCTTGACCACTCATATGATGGGCTGCTAGCATTGATTTGACGCAAAGGCGTACTCAATCTGTAGTACCGGCCTCTCAAGACGCGAGCTACCAGAGAGTCCGGGTTTTGTACCAGTCTCCATAGTTGTTTTGCTAGTAACGCAAGGTTGAACTCATGAATCATCCAAAAGCCATTTCCGCCTTCTTCTCTGGGCAAGCATAATTTATCCCATATTGACCAGTGAATCCCCCTTTTTGGCGGGTTTGAGCTCCACCAGAACTGTGCAATGGCACTAGCTAAATTCTCACAAATCTTCAATGGGAAAAGGAAGCAAGACGTTAGATACGTTGGAAGAGCGAGCAGGATTGATTTTATCATAACTTATTTCCCGCCTTTAGAAAGCCATCTGCCAGTCCAACCATTCACTCTACTTCTCAGCTTGTCCTTAAGAAAGGCAAAGAGTTTAACTTTAGACCCACTGATATCCTCTTGTGTACCTAAATATGACCCCATTCCTCCTTCATTTTGGATCCCAAGTGTGTCTTTGATCTCTTGTGTGACATCCTGACCGATTCTTTTCCCAAAGAGTAAAGAGGACTTGTCAAAATTAATGCATTGTCATGAAGCTTGTCCATATACCTTGACCACTTTCATTACTTCTTCACATTCACGGGGCTCCGCCTTACAGAAAAACAGACTATCATCAGCAAAGAGAAGATGAGACACCAAAGGACACGCACGCGTGATGCGCATCCCCGTTATCTTGATTCTCTGTGTGATTTAGAAGGCTAACGAGCGCTTCCGTGCACAGAATAAAAATGAAGAGGGACAAAGGATCCCCCTGCCGTTGACCTCTCTCCGGGACAATATTCCCTCTTGGCTGTCCATTCATAAGGACCTTGTACTTTACTGAAGTTACGCATCTCATTATCATAGTTATCCATACTTCAGAAAATCCCATCTTCCTCATTGTGGCCTCAATGAAGGACCATTCCATCCTATCATATGCCTTGCTCATATCTGTTTTGATAGCCATCCTCTTGTTTCGGCTACTCGGTTTTGTCCTCAAAGCGTGGAACAATTCCTGAGCTATCATAATGTTATCAGATATCTGTCTCCCAGCAATAAAGGCTGACTGGGTCTCAGAGATCCTGTCTGGTAGAAACTTTTTTGATCTCTGGAATAAGACCTTAGAGATCATCTTGTAACTAACATTACATAAGCTAATAGAGCGTAACTGACTCATCTGATTTGGCTTCTCCTCTTTTGGAATGAGACATATGTTGGTATCATTTAGTCCAGAAGGCACTGTTCCTTCAAATAGGAACTGATTAACCATAAGAGTTAAGTCGTCCTTTACAATATCCCATAATTTCTGGTAAAACAGCGCCGTCATTCCATCGGGTCCTGGAGCTTTCTCTGGGTGCATCGAAAAAGAGCCAATTTAACCTCTCATTCAGTGACCGGAGCTGTTAAAGCCTCATTATCTGTCAAAGTAATTGTGGTTGATACTTCAGAAAGTGCCTCCTCTATTGCCGCAGGATTTGATGATTGAAAGATGTGTCTAAAGTAATTTGTAGCAATGGCTACCAATCCTTCCTCATCCTCCACAACATTTCCGTCTTCATCCAATAATTTGGTAATCCTATTCCTAGCTCTCCTTAGCTTCGTAAGGGCGTGAAAAAATTTGGTATTCCTATCCCCCTCTCTCAGCCAGAAAACCCGACACTTCTGCTTCCTGAGCATCTCCTCCGCCTTAAGAGCGTCAGATAGTTCCTTGATAGCTGCCGCAATTTCCTCAGTAGTGGCATCGTCATTTGAGGATAAACGATCTACCTTTTCCTTAAGCTCCTCCACTATTTTTTTCTGAGTTCAGATTATGCTGCTTTTTCCATTCACTTAATACTCGCCGGCAGCTTACAATATGCTCCATTATACTTGTGTCTGGTGGAAGGTCCGGTGACTTCCATCCTTCCAATATAACTTGCCTGAGCTCGTCGTTATCTAACCATCTCTTATCAAATTTGAAGTTTCTTGATCTCCTAGGTTTCTCTTTTTAGAATATCAGCTAGTACTGGACGATGATCCGATCCCCAGAGTCTCATATACTTCACTTTGGAATGAGGAAATTTCTCATGCTAGTCTTCATTCCCCACATCCCTATCGAGACGGCATCTAACTGTCGTCCTCCCTGATCTATTTCCAACCCAGGAAATCATGTTCCCTGTAAATGGAAACTCCAGCATCCCACAATCATTTAACATCTCCCTAAAGGGCAAAAATGAGCTACAGGGCGTTGTCTGCCTCCTTCCTTCTCTGCATGACATGTAATTTCAATGAAATCTCCTATCATGAACCAAGGTCCATTTCTTGATGTTGAGAAACGCGTAAGACGCTCCCAAACAAAATCTCTCCTTTCTAGTACAGTATCCCCATAAACAAATGTCATATAGACTTTTATTCCATCAATGACTGCCTCAATGTCAATCATTCTGTTATTTGAAAAAATAACATTAACTTGAAATTCATCCATAAAAAATAAAGCCAAACCTCCGCTGAGGCCAAGTGGCTCAACAGTAAATAAACGATCAAATCCTAAGTCGGCCTGAATGTCTTGCAACAGCAGCCTCGTATTCTTCGTCTCAGATAGAAACACAAATCCTGGGCAATGCTTCTGACACATCTCCGTAAGGCGTCAAACTGTGAGGTCGCTTCCAATCCCTCGACAGTTCCAACTGATTGTCCTCATGGATGAGGATGGGATGAGTTTTTGGAACCCATCGAAACCTCATGTTTAGAAGACTCTTCTCTTATCCTAATTGTCTGATTTGCTTCCTAGAATCCCTAGCATCCTTGATACCAGACTTTGATCGCTTAACTTGAGAACCTCGATGGAGGAACTCAATTTTTTTTTTTGAATGCCCAACGGAACATTAGTCGCACCGCCTTGCCGTCTACTGCGTGTAGATTTTTTTCCACTGTTTAGCTCCATGCTCCCTTGGCGCGATGCCTCAGCCTCCATTAGCTCCACACCAAGCATATCATCATCGTTGAACTCCACCTCGTTATCCATCATGCTGTCACCTTGATGATCAATATTATCCATATCAGTCAGAGCACCAATCATTTGATCATCCCCATTTAACCCCTGTTCATCCTCTTGTGAGAACGACAGAGACTGAGCAACGCCCTTAGCTCGGACTATAATATAGTTCTCCAAAAAAATTTCATCAGCTGTTGGCGTGACAATCTTACTCGCCAAACGCTTGTGTTCCGGGACAGTCCCATGTTGAGCACTCTTGCGCCAATCAAGGTCCTTGTCATTGCTCTGTATGGCGTTTGTTACCACTCCAGATACGCGTTCAAAAGCAACCGCATCTGCTTCATACCCCGTGGACCAGACGAGCTGAACTCGCCCTCATCAATAGGGTTATCCTTCGA